GCAGGGTTTTTGTGTTTTGCCTGGAGCAATTTTGATGCCTTATATGACCTTGACATTTTGGATAGCATTAGATGAACAGGACACAACTGGTGCATGTACTCCATGTGCTTAAGATATATTTTAGAGCTCTAGGAATACCCATTTATGCCACAACCTTCCCAGGTTTAGAACAAAACAACAGGAGAAATGTTTCCCAGGAATTGTGGAAAGAGAAACTTATCTTGATCAGAAAGGTTTCTGGAGCTATAAGAGTAACCTTTTCCTCATGACAACAGCAGTGTGGCTCTTGTACAGATAGGGGAACTTTTTAATTCCAAAAGTTGCAGTTCAGAGGTAATGGCAACTAGAAAGGCCAGATACAAGCTTGTGTTATCTTGTTATTCTGATTAATCTTGGCACCTGATACTCAAATGGAGAATCGAATGTGCCTACCTATGGAACATCGCTAGGGCCCGTTCTTCGAGTGCTTGTTCATGTTAATTCCAATCAGATGTGTGTGCGCGCATGTGCACAGTAGCTGGAAGATTTTTCCCCTAGCTGCATCCGTGGGGTCGACCTGGGCACCCCCTGGAGTCACACCTTCATGGTGCCCAATAAAGGGCCCTGCTGACCTGCCACCCCCTCAGTCCCTTCTTACTGCCAGTGACGGTAGCTGGAACTTCCCCTTGCTCTTGCTTCAGCAAGTGGCTTAGCAGTACTTTCGGTTTTTGCTGCAGATAGTTCTAGTTGGTTAGCATAGTTAGTTCACGTATAAGTTTCAGTTATGGGGGGTTCCCTCCCCCCATTTTTCTGCCCCCCCTTATTTGTCACCGGGGCATGCAGCAATCCCTGGGCTTCAAGACTTGCCAGGACTGCGCAAAGCGCATGCCTAAAAGTGACTTCCACACCTCCTGTTTATGGTGTCTGGGGAGGGAAACAGACTGCTGCAAGATCTGTCGGGAATTCCGACTGAGAACTCTTAAAGAGAGGGAGCAGCAGCTTAAAATACTCCTCATGGAGGCATCTCTCCAACCTCAGTCGGATCCAGGTGCTGGGGATCCCACTCCCAGTACGTCTTCTTTGGCATGGCGCACTCCAGTGCCGTCTTCCAGAGATCCGGCGTCAAAGAAAGACACTGCCAAGGAGACTCGGCACCATCATGGAGCCTCTCAGGGGCACTCCAGCCTTGGGCACCGGTCCCAATTGCCAGCGCAGAAGAAGAAGAGGATGGAAAGAGACTGATCCCCCTCAGCAAGATCAAGGGACCAGCCATCAGTGGCAACTCAGTCGGGTCACGGCTCCGAGGCTCAGAGCGGGGCTACATCGACACCTGCCAAAGTGAGGCAGTCGAGTCTGGGCCCATCACGCTCACCAAACCCCTTGGAGCACCGGCTGCTCCCATCCACTTCGGAGGCTTTTGAGGCGGCGCAGGACCTGCTGAGACTCACACACCGTTCTCGCCCCCAAGGCAGGAGGATGCACCAGAACTGCAGGCTCCATCTCGGCACCCCGTTCAGTCAAAGGGAAAGCCGGAGATGATATCATGCTGATCTCCGTCACCTCGGCACCCCCCACCGCCAGCACCTCCATCCATGGAGCACCGTTGGTCCCCAGGCTCCCGATGCTCTACATAAAGAGGTGCAGTGCCGCCCTGGCCCTCCTATTCTGAAACATCAGAGTCGAAGTCAGACTTGTACCGCTCTGACTATAGGAGTAGCAGGAGGTCCAGCCCAAGGCACCATAGGGGGTCCCGCCTGATGCAGTTCAATTATCTCCCTCAGAACAGGATGCAGAGATAAAAGTTTGAGACACCTTTAATGACTGCTTGGAACAGCTAGCCCTGGAACCCACCAGGGGAGAAACAATTCTTGATTGATACAGGATTTGGTCCGAGAAGCAAATGTAGATGAACCACTTAGTAATAATGACCATAATGTAATTAAATTTAACATCCTTGCGGTGGGTCGGGGTTTGGATTCCAAAGAAAGCCACCACAGGACAATTTACCTTCAAAAAGAGGAACTACATAAAAATGAGGAGGCTAGTTGAAAGGAACAGTCACAAAAGTGAAATGACTGCAGGTTGCATGGAAACTTTTAAAAAAACACCATACTAAAAGCTCAAATTAAATGTATATCCCAAATTAAAAACATTGTAAGAGGACCAAACAATGCCACCATGGCTTAACAGCGTAAAAGAGGTAGTTAGAGGCAAAAAGGCATCCTTTAAAAATTGGAAGTCAAATCCTACTGCGGAAAATAGAAAAGCGCATAAACTCTGGCAGGTCAAGTGTAAGAGTATAATTAGGCAGGCCAAAAGAGAATTTGAACAGCAACAAGCAAAAGATGCAAAAACTAACAGCAAAAAAACCCAAAAAACCCACAACCAACCAAAAAACTTTTAAGTACATCAGAAGTAGGAAGCCTGATTTTTTTTATCAGTAGGGCCACTGGATGATCAAGGTGCTAAAGAAGCACTCACAGAAGACAAGGCCATTGTAGAGAAGCTAAATGAATTATTTGCATCCGTCTTCACATCCTCTGCAGTGACCCTCTGCCGAGAGGGAGTTTCCCATACCTGTGCCAATCTTTTTAGATGACAAATTTGAGGAACTGTCCCAGATTGAGGTGTCATTAGAGGAGGTTTTGGAAAAAATTGATAACAGTAATAAATCATCAGGACCAGATAGTATTCACCCAAGAGTTTGGAAGGAACTCAGATAATAAATTGCAGAACTACTATCTGAGGTATGTAACTTATTGCTGAAATCAGCCTCCGTACCAGATGACTGGAGGACAGCTAATGTGATGCTGATTTTAAAAAAACAGATTCCAAAGGGGAGCCTGGCAATTACAGCCCGGTAAGCCTAACTTTAGTGCCAGGCAAATTGGTTGAATTATCAGAATACATAGCTAAAGACAATTTATTAGGGAAGACTCAACATGGTTTTTGTAAAGGGAAATCATGTTTCATCAGTCTGTTAGAATTATTTGAGGGGATCAACAAACGTGGATATAGTGTACTTGGACTTTCAGGTCCACTCATGGATCAGTAACTGATTAAAAGATAGGAAATAAAGTGTAGGAATAAACAGTCAGTTTTTCACACTTGAGAGAGGTAGCTAGCAGGGTCCCTCAAGGATCTGTACTGGGACAAGTACTATACAAAGATTGAAACTAAAAACTTAAGTGGTGTGGTGTTCACCCGGGCAATGTTGTTGGCTCATTTCCTCAAACTACCCAGGCAAGCATTATTTGGCTGCACAGACAACCGCTCATGTTTTTTTTCTTTATTGGGGCATGTGCACAGTAATCCTTTCAGCAGGGGCAGCTCCAGGCACCAGCGCAGCAAGTGCATGCCTGGGGTGGCAAGCCGCGGGGGGCGGTGTGCCGGTCGCCATGAGGGCGGCAGTCAGGCAGCTTTCGGCGGCATGGCTTTGGGCGTTCCGCCGGTCCCACGGCTTTGGCGGAAATTCGGCAGCGGGTATGAAGGCGCAGGACCGGCAGATCACCCACAGAAACGCCGCTGAGGCCGCCTGACTGCCGTGCTTGGGGCGGCAAAAAACATAGAGCCGCCCCTGCCTTTCAGACTACACATGCAAAGAAACGAACACACATTCTTAAATACCATTCTCAATTTGGGTCCCCCAAAGATTTAGTGGGTATCATGCCCTACCTGGGATAAAACTTGTCAGAGTGAGACCATTTTGACCCACATCAAAGCAATAGTTTGCTCTCTAGATCTGGGCAAAAATAAAACAAAACACCAAAAACTCTTTGAAAAAGTGGCTATTTTTGTGGCTTATATTTTTGCACCTCCCCTTGCACAAATAACCCCAATTTTGGTCTCTACTATAGGTTGATGTAGCCTCCCAATTCAATGGTGCACTGTCCCCTCCCACCCACCAAAATGCCACAGGTTTGGGCAGGAGCGCCATTTCAGATTTTGATGCGGGGAGCCCAGCAGGGGCCCAGGGAGGTCACATGGTCACTGGAAACTTGTGGAGCTTTTGAAATGGCAGAGAACTTTATTATGCCAGACAGGGTTGCTCAGAGGATTCAGGGGGCTTGAGGCAAAGCAATTTCAGGGGCCCCTTCCATTAAAGAAAAGTTGCAATGCTATAGAATACTATATTCTCGTACGGGCCCCCGCGGGGCCTGGGGCAAATTGCCCCATTTGCCCCTTCCTCTGGGCGGCCTTGTTGCCAGAAATAATTTGGACAATCGTCGCCAATTCTGTACTCGGGTTGCACAGATCTAAGCTATACTGGGAACCAAGGAGGAGAGGGGAGAAGTTAGCTATGTAACCCTTCTGCCATGTGATGTAGGCAGCAACAACGGCTGGGTTCAATATCTGGGGGGGGTCCTCTTAACAATACAAAATAGAACTGGCTTGAGCCGGTAATCTGGGAAAACTGAACACTGTCCCTGGCCGCCGCTAAGAGGCAATACGTCACCATGCGCAAGTCCTGTGTATAACAAAAGGAAACTTTTATTACAGGAAGAAAACAGAGCATTAATTTAAAAAAATACTGCAACAACGACGTGACAGGACTTGCATATTTGAACGTGACCCGCTCAGTCACAGGTTCAGGGGCCCTCCCAGTCACTGCAGCTCTCTGTGGGGCTAGCCAGGGAAAAGGCCTCAAGCCCGCAGCAGCCCGATCGCTCCAAGGGGTTAATCCTGAACTGTCGCTCACCCTATTTTCCTTCCTGATTGGTTAAGTCTGTTCCCATTTTACCGGGCCTTAGCCACTTAGTGAGACGTTGCTGGGCAGGATAGTATGAGGGCGGGCGCTGCCTGCCTGATGTTCCCATTGGCCGTGCGTCACGCCATGTTGCTGGGTAACCTGTCACTTTTTCTATGGTGCTGTGTTTGGCTGCGGAGGTTGAGCTTGGAGCTTTATGATTGGCTAGAGAAATGTGATTTGTTTTTCGATTGGCTGTCGTGCTGCCAGCCTGGAATTGTGATTGGCTGGAGAGAGCTGTTGCTAGGCGGAGTAACCCGTGCTGGGACTTTGCCCAGGCAAGGCGGGAGCGCAAGAGAATCGGGGTCAGGTGGGGGGCGGTGGTGGCGGGGGCTGCTTTTGTGTCCTTCCTCGGCCCCCCGTGATGGCGGTGGGCGCAGCTACACCCGTGAGCCCCAGTCAGAGCCACCACTGAGCCTGGCCCTGCACCCTCAGAGGTACCAGCCTGAGCGTGTGGCTAGGCTGACCAGACAGCAAGTGTGAAAAATCAGGACGGGGTCGGGGGTAATAGGAGCCTATGTAAGAAAAAGCCCCAAATATCGGGACTGTTCCTAAAAAATCAGGACATCTGGTCACCCTACGGGTGGCTTTCAGGGGGCTTAGAGGGGTCGAACTTTAAACAGAAGGTGTGAGGCAACCTTGGCTCCAGTGGGCTGCGGTATCACTCGAGTCCCACCGAGCCCCAAAGAGCTCACAGCGTAAGGGGCGGGGTGGGTGGGTGCAGTGGGTGAGCTGAGGGCGCGTTGGGATTGGGGATGCGCTGGCGGAGCTGGGTGTGCAGGATGTGTGTGTACCCAGCAGAGCTAGAGGATATGGAGTATGTTGGGGTGCACTGGCAAAGCTGGCATGTGCCAAGCATCCCTCACTTGAAACCCCCATCACCCATCCCCATTTATCTCTCTTCCCATAACTCCCTGCCTGTTGCTACAACCCCAAGCCCCTATTTCCCCAGTCCTCTACCTCATAATACCCCACTCCCCAGGAAGCAGTCACATCTAATTTCCCCCCCAAAGACTTGGATTACATCCTGCCTAAATAAAATTGCCACCCATGACCCACAAATAGAGTGACCAGGTGTCCGGTTTTCGACTGGAACACCTGGTCGAAAAGGGACCCTGCCAGCTCTGGTCAGCACCTCTGACTGGGTTGTTAAAAGGCCGGTTGGTGGTGCTGCAGCGCTAAGACAGGCTAGTCCCTACCTGTTCTGGCTGGCACCGCACTGCGCCCTGGAGGCAGCCAGCAGATCCGGCTCCTAGGCAGGGGGCACGGGCTCTGTGCACTCTCCCCACCCCGAGCACCGGTTCCACACTCCCGGCCAATGAGAGCTGGGGAGGGGGCAGTGCTTGTGGGCAAAAGCGGTGTGTGGAGCCTTGTGCCCCCTCCCCCCCACCCCTTTCCATATCACAGGGAATTAATTGGATTACAAGTGCATGCTCTTTGCAATATTCTGTGGACCTAGGCAGCAGGAGGTTGGGGAGCGAGAACTGGAATATAGCCAGAGAGAGGGAGGGACAGAAGCAGAGACTAGCTAGTGCAGCAGCTGAGGTCTGAGGATCTGGTGAGATAAATGCTTAAGCAGACTACAGTACAAGCTTCTCTCTTTGGTAGTACATATTGGGAGAAGGAGGTTGTGAGCTGTGTTGCCATGGGAGCTGAAGCCCAACCACCAAGAGAGCATACCAGAACCAATGGTCTAGTCTAAACTAATCATGGTTGAAAAGTATAATGAAGTTTTATGCCAATGATTATTTTCTGCTAGAAGCCACAGTAGTGTACGTTTTCATGACGGTGGAGATCATAACAATTGATGCTGATACACAATAAATTAACGTTACAGTGGAATTTAGGAGTTGCTGCTGTGGAATTTTGTCCCATTGTGTCCTGGAATACAAATGGCTCTGGTTAGCTGAAGGGTTTGCTGGCTGATTGCTAACAGATTACCAATTTAGAATACTCAATTTCATATTAGTGGCATTTAGGGAAGACTCCAGAGCCAAAAATGATTTTGATTTTTGAGTTGTAGTTTGAGTTCGTAGTGCTTTCCCCTAAAGTGGTGGTGGTGGTGGTGGTGGGGGGGGGGTAAGGGGAGGAAATGCAATTTCAATGAGAGCTGCTGGGAGTGCTGAACACTTTGGAAAAAATTAGGTCACTTTTTAGGAGTCTAACTTTAGGGGCACCCATTTTTTAATCTTGCCTGGGGTATCTAGAGGTGGCAGATAATGAGCTGGATCCTCAGCTGCTGTAAATCAGCATAGTTCGATTAAAGTCAATAGGACGATGCTGAACGGCACGAGCAAAGGATCTGCTGCAATACCTCCCCTAAACTGTATATGTATGAGGTTTTAAAAAGCAATTTGCTCAGGGTGAGTGGAAGTTTTGTATGGGATACTGAACTCAAAAGGGGCCATTCTTCCTGGCCCACTGAGCTACTGCTCTTTCAATCAGAAGGAAGGAGAAGACCAGAGAGAAAGGAGTATGTGGATAAGCACGCACATTGGTGTGTAGGAAAAAGAGACAGGGGACTGATATTTTGTGGGGAGAAAGGAGAGACAAAAGTATTAGAAATGAGAACAGTTGTGAGGGTGGAGCAGAAGACAGGAAAGGGAGTAAAGGGATAGTAGGAGAGGGAAGGAAAGAAAGAAGAGACACTGGAAACAACACAGAAAATGATACACAAGTATAGTCAGGAAGAGACGCAATGTAAAACAAAAGTGAGACATGTTACATTTAACAATTTATTGAACAGTTGAAATGTGATATTTTACAAGTAAAGACAATACACCAACTGTTCAAAACTGTTTTATTCCTTTAAAACTGCTAAGAGACATGGTGGCACAGGTTTTTTCCACCCTGGCTAGTTAGCTTAGTTCTTGGAGTAGTAGGTACAGGATATATTTTTCATGTACTGCTCATCTCAATATAATCATTGTTCATGTTTTCTCTAGTGGGGATTTCTTCCTCTGTTTCAGCATCTTGAACCACAACATTACTGACTTTTAAAGATATTTAATGGCAGAAATATGGGTCTTCAGTAACAATGGATGAATCGCTGGAATAAGTAAACTGTCTTGATCATTGAAACAGATTCGCTTTAAGTCCAGTTTACTAGATTTATGATCAAGGGGTCTTCTGCTTTTAGTAATAATGCAAAACTTAGCTTTTCCATGCACCAACTTTGAAAAATATCAAGAAAATTGGAGGTAGGCGCACAATATATATATACTTTTTTATATATATTTTACTCTATTTCATCTACAGAAGAGCTGTACTTACAACATATTGATCTACTAACAACTCAGAATGCCCCAAGTTGCTGTATTATTTAATAAAAAAATTCAGTGCATTGTATTGATAAGTTTCCCCTACCATATAAAACACACACTACAAATCTCTTGGCACTATTAGAGATATGTAGTATTTTTTAAACTCAAACACAATGGAATAAAAGCAAAAACAAATTAGGCAAGTGCCTAATTCTGCAAACCTAATATAGGTAAATCTTACAGTGAATTAACAGTTTTCCCTGTGTCAGGACTACAGAACTGGGCACAAAACAGATGCGTCAGATCTGAACATGCTAATGGCTACTTAAGACAACATTTAAAAACATAAAATACACGTAAAAGAGAAAACACACAAAACAAAATTCAGGAAACGCTTTGGTTAAAATACATCAGAGAAAATGAATGGGATGAGACTCAGAATAGCTGTTGTAACAACTAACATTCAGGCAGTTCTGTCAAACTCAAGAACACCGCTCTGTATTTCCTTTGCTAGTTACAAATGAAAACAAGGTATGGCTTATATATTTAATTTAAAAGGAGACTATATAACTATGTGGTGTTTTTCCAGAGACAAGTGCAATGTGCCTGATATTTATAAAATACCTTTATAGTTTATATTTAAATTGTATTTAAGATTTTTCACATCCTAACCCATTTAATGGGAAACCATTAAAATGTTATGTAAACAAAATCATTTCCACAAATTTGCTTTAATGTTTTGTTCAAATCATATAATTTTTCTTTAAAACATCTAGATACTGCTGTGTTGCCCTGGAAACCGGATCCTGATCCACATTTAGATTTTTTGAAGATCCATCAGTAGATCCTACAGGAGAGACTCTTACAGATCCAGTTTCAAGTTCAGCTGTGGCTAGAAAGAAGAAGAAAAACAAATGACCATATATGTTCTGTGTTATGTTGTGTGATAGTTTTACAATAGGCTTTGTCATAAACCCATTGAATTTTTTCCATTGACAGCGGTGGGCATTGTATCAGGTCCAGAGACAGCAGATACACATTTTTAAATCAATACAAAGGAAACATGATGAAAATGACATAAAAGGGACATTCACAAAGGAAGAAACCATATTTTTTAATTATAAAAGCAATACATTAGCCTTTTTGCTAATCAGTAAATAACTGTTAGTATTTCAAGGGCTATTGAAAATAATAGGTCAAATCCACAGATGCTGTAAGCACACTAAATTCCAATGAAGACAACGGCATGACAATTGCTTATTCTAGTGATAAATTTGGAAGAATATCAATTATATACAATAATACTGATTAAAATAAGTGTGAGAGGAGAAGTGATTTTTGAAGTTTGTGAAAAATCTGAAAAGAGGATTTATTGTATTTTTGTTAATCCTATGTGTGTGTTATTTGGGAATTTCTGCAAAATTGACTTCAGATTAAGACTTTTTTGGTGGGGGAATTACATAATAATCTGTACAGCACTTTGGTAAGTGGGCAGTGCTTGCAAAAAGAACTTTACTAAATTTGAAAATTAGTAGAAACAGCAATGGTATACAACATAACAGCTTAATACTATTTTTGAATTATAACAAAATCATAAATTATATTTAGTAACACTCAGTTTTTGAAAAAAAAATGTTAACATGCTAACATGTTAACAAATTACCTTGGTCAAGTTCTTTAGTGATACTTTTTTCTAGTTCCTGCTGCATCTGAAATTAAATATTAACAATATTTACATATAAACAGTTTAGGGTAGTTCGTGTCACAAAAATATTGCTATATATTTAAAAACAACCACAGAGTGTAAATAAAAGTGAAATGAAAATCCTGAACAGAGATTTAGTTTTGTTTTGGAGAAAATCTTGATTAGCTGAGTCTTCATAGTCTGATGGTTGAACAATATCAGCAGCATCGTAAAACAATCTATACCTTCAGAGACATCATAGATGTGTAGGGCTGGAAGGGACCTTAAGAGGTCATCAAGTCCAGCCTCCTGTGCTGAGGCAGGACCAAATAAACCAGACCATCCCAACTGACTAGATGGTTGCTAATTAGCCTCTTCTGTCCCTATGAAGTATATTTACAAACTATAATTAACTACTCTATAGGTCAGAGGAGTGTAGGGCTCATGGCTTTTACACCCCTTCATGCACATGCTGCTTAATAAACCATCCTTACTAATTGTTGGCTTATTAATGTATTTAACTAATGATAAATGATTCATAATTTAGTAGTTAAACACATACAAACAAGCACAATCAATTAGTAATGGAGGGATAAATTCTATCTTCAGATATGTGAATAAAATCACAATTAAATTCAGGGGTAGATATATGTATCTAATTCAGATGTGGGCAAACTACAGCCCGCGGGCCACATCCGGCCCGCAGGACAGTCCTGCCCGGCCCCTGAGCTCTCGGCTTGGGAGCCTAGTCCCTGGCCCCTCCCCCACAGCCTCACCTCGCTCCATGGGCCGCATCTGGCCCGCTGCTCCCGCTGGGCAGCGTGGGGAGCGCAGCTGGCTCTGGCCGGGTGTCGTGGCTGCAAGCTCCTGCTGCTGGTAAGGGAGTAGGGAGGCGGGGG